TATCAGTTTCATAGGTCTTCACATATATAAGTCACTATTTCTTTTTGTATTTTTTTGATGTAGAATCTTAGTTCTTCACACTCACAAGGGAAACTCGCAAGGGAAACACACTTCAACAATAACACTTACGGTTATGGTAAAGGGTTGAAGGGTTTAGGACTGTCCTGAAAAGACTTAAGATGGAAGGAGCAAGGGCTTCCTTGATAAGGGGGAGAGTTGAAGGGTAAGGGCTACCAGGATAATAATTCCCCATAAACATCAAGGCTAGATATTAAGGATGTGTTTCGGTTTTGGTTTACAGCATGCACAAGAGAACGCATATATGTATATATAGATCCACGGTGACGAACTAACGATTGCTTTCATTTATTTTCAATTCAACAAAAATGGATTCCAAATTCTGTTTAATCCTTCACTTTTATTTTATATTTTTTAAATCTTAGCCATACAACAAAAGTGTTTTCGCTATTCACCCATTAAGGTCTTGAATTATGAATGATTGGTTCTGCCTTCTGATTGAAAGTAGAAATGTGAATAGAAAAAGTATATATAATGTTAACTGACTTCACTTTCCACCAAGAAAGCCCAAAAAGCACAAAATTCCTCTCCCACCTTAGAATTGAGATTCCAGTCCTTTATTCTTTGCTTTATTCTTCAACAAATTATACATGACATTATTGTTTTTAAGGGAACAATCCAACAATTTGAATAAAAAATTCTCAAGTTAGAGATCTCAATTCAAATCATGCAGTTTAATTTTTCTTTAATGCAAAGCATTTCCAGGAGGTTGTTGCTCTGTTCAAGTATGAGGTATGCCTAGAATGGTATCTGAGGCTTGATGCTTGTAACTAAGGATTTATTTATTTATTTATTTTGTATAGATGTCTAACATTCTACTGTTTCTATAAGTGTTTAATATGCCTACAAGTAAGCACACAGGAGAAATTGATACAAGATGGAACCGAAAACTGATCATGGTAAAACCCATCTCACCCTTAATGCTAAGTTTTGAATTAGTGACTACCTCCGTGTAGTGGAAGGGTACCATGGAAACTAAGATTGGTGATGTTTGATTTAGTAAATTGGTTGAGGCACTTTCCCAGCATTGTTGTGAGCTTTAGTAAAGTTAATGTTGCTTGCATGGTGTTTGACAAAATGCCTGGCTGAGAGATTGAGAAAACTTTATATTCTAACCAAATTCTTGATAAGAGATTCATTGAAAGTAAAGAGTCCCCAGATCACGAATATTACATATCACTAACTCATGACAATTTTTATTGTGTCTCAACATGATATGACAGGTATTAAAACAAGTATTGATCACTTCATGGAAAACATTTTTTTTTTTTATCAGCACTTCATGGAATAAATGGTTTGCAAGAAAGCTAGGATGAGAACGATAGCAGCAACAATCTGAGAAACAATGGCCCACGGCTTCGCAAAATAATTGCGGGTATAAAAAGCTCGCCATTTAGGCCACAATTTCTGCTGATATTCATTCACTTCCCCGCAAAGCTTCTGGTAATGAAACTCTTTCAAAAAAGCATCATGGTATAGCATCTTAAAGAACTGTGTCGTGTCATGTGGGTTAAGCCAGTTGATAAGAATCCCACTCTTGCTGAGTTCTTCCATGTCCCCTTCATTGTTGATAAGGTTGTCCAAGAGTATAGCATAGCTTGTAACTCTGGGAGGACAGTTTGGATAACATTGCTCATAGCTGATCAGATTTCGGAAGGCAGGTTCAACGGTTTCTTGGATGAGAATTGGTGACATTTCCAGAGTGCCTCTCCTAAATTTGACTTCCAGGATGCTATGTGATGTCACTTTCCTGAAACTGATTCCAGATTCTTTGATGCTGGTGGCAGAAGGAATAGGCCGCCATGATACAAATGACTCTTCCTGGCCTTGCTGCTCTCCAAGTGGCAACACCAAAGAACTTCTTATCAAATCAAGCATGTGCTGGGTTTTTTTATTGGCGAAGAGATCTAGTTGTATAGGAGATTTCTCAGATGAAAAAATGTTGTCAAAGAAATCCAAGGCGAGTTGAAGTAGGGACTTGGTTTCAGACAAACCTCTTGTTAACCTAAACAGATGCTCAAGCACAAACCAGGGTATTTGATTTTCTAGCAAAATCAAGTCATGGTGTAAGAACTGAAGCATACAGGAAGTAGAGAAAATGGGATCATTCTCATTTTTCCGAACCTCTCCAGCATCCTTCCTGAACAGTTCAACAATAAAGCAGCCATCAAGCACCAACATTTCAATGAATGCCTGTTTGCTCATATGAATTTCTTCTGCATAGCACTCTCGGGCTTCTGTTTCATATTTTGCAATCTCTTTGATGCATTCCATCAGTGTTGTATCCGGATTACGTGTTCTGTACAGAAGGCCTTCTAAGTAGTTAAACTTGATCTTCTCTTTATCTTCGAGATCTTTCTTGCCATGGTGAAAAGGCCCGATGGAAAACGCGTTGGGAATGTATGCTTCCTTATTGTGCCTGCGAAGTATGCTGGGAATCCTGAAGATGCAAGGCGTGGATGAACTTATAGTATCACCTCCCATCTTGCTCCTCATGTTAGATGCCATGGATTCAATTTCTCCTGCCATGATCAACTTTTCCCCTCTCCAAGCACGTCTAAGCAAGAATATTTTTGAGGAAAAATGAAGGTAGAGAGTTTCTTAAACAAGGTAGTATATATATGAAGAAGAATTGCTGAGGACTCAACTGAAAAGAGTTCTATGTACCAAAAAAGAAAAAACTGAAAAGAGTTCTGTTTTATATTCAATCCCTGCAACATAAGTTATGATGATTGATAAAGGGATACTTTGCTTTCAATGAAAGAATGTGCATACTCTAGTCGTTTAATATTATGTTTTTTTTTTTTTTTTTTCTTAACCTGTAATCTTATTATATTTTTTTACAGTTAATTTATATGAAAAATTATTGAAAAAAATTTTATTTTCAACATCAATATCACTTAAAAGGATTTATGATTAATAGAATTAAAGTTAATTTTTATATTTTTAATGTGAATTAATGATAAAAATATACAATAAATATATACCATTAATTTTTTTTAACGAATATACTTCTCACTTTAAATAAATGCCTTAAAAAAAAAAAAGAATAATACTGTACGACAACTGGTTTAACTTTTACAGCCTAACAGCACACCATTTCTCCCACTTTAGTCTAGGATATATTTATCCAGTGTTTTTCTTAAGTTATGCACTACTACTTAAATTGTTTTGAATTTGTGTTGATTTGTATTTACTTGTATTTTACATTAATCAAATTATGATATATTAAAATTAGTAACAGGGATAAAAAAATTACAACGTTTTAGGATTAAAATATTAAAAATAATAACAAAAAGATTAAAATATATCCTTAATAAATTAACACAACAAAGAAAATTCATTATAAGTATTTAAACAATTTCACCTGAAATCCAAGCAGCATTTAAAATCTCAATAAATCTTGATTTTTAATTGTATCTAATTTGTAC